TTCCCTACTTTACATCGCTGCAGACTGTTTTTAGCTCTCTCCAAAATCCTAGGTTCTGCCCCAGTCCAGTCTTTAGCTGCAGCTACCGCTTTATCTTGCAGCAAAACAGCCAGAAGCTGCTGGCAATTTAGCTGTGAAAGGGTTAGTTAAAATTGGCTTTTGCATGAGCAGGAAAGGTAGAGGGAGTGAGCTGAAGGTGAGGCTCTGTCCTTGCCCATGGCAGCCAAAACTCTGGAAACATCTTTTCTTCTTCATTCTTCCTTTCCAAAGACAAGGTGACATGCATCTTTTACTTGGGGGCGTGTGGCATGTGAGGAAAATACAGTCGGAAGTCAATGTCAAGGTCCTGATCAAGGTGCTGTATCGCCTGGGTCCTGATTAAATAAAACACACCTTAAACTTTATTTAGCTCCTTAGTGAAACAAAACTTTCTACCAAAGGAGAAATGGACAGTTCTCAGGCAGCCAGTCCCAAACTACAGACTGAAGTCACACCAAAATTAAGGCCCATCACAGACCCCATTGCCACTTGCTGCAAGTGCAGCCACTGTTTCCAAAACCAAGATAGACTATATAGAGTCTTGCAAAAAAAAAAAAAGGTTTAGAAGAGACCACAGGCGGTGATCTAGTCCAGCCCCCAGCTCAAGACAGGCTCACCCCTGTTTAAATTATTCCAGAACATGTTTTCCCTTTGAGGAGAGGATGGAGATGTACAAACTACACATGACAGCTATTAGGCACATCACTTCATACCTTACTAGTAGGTGTTCAGATGCTATTGTGATGCAGGGTGTGTGTGTGTATGTGTGTGTACACTGGATGCATCTACACATACAATTAATGCAAAGCAATACACTCTGGCACAGTTGGCACCAGAGTGTATTGCTCCTGGGTGCGTGGTTTGCACATGCACCTGGGACTGCAGCATGGTGAGCCAGGACAAAGCAGCAACAGCTGGCAGGGGGTCCTGGGGGGTCAGCCTGCCAGCCAGGGGCTGCTCCGACCCAGCTCAAATTGCTTCAGAGGGGCTGGCTGGGACACAAGGTCCTTCAGTGCAGGGCTAGCCAGTAGGCAGCCCCCTCACTGAAGCACCCTCGTAACCCAGCCAGCCCCATCAGCATCTACATGTGCATTGCTGTGGAGTAAATAACTTTGCCATAGGATAGTATTTACAAGTACTAACCTATGGCTGAGTTAACTAGTTTACTCCATCCTAATAGCACTGCAGGTGTAAATGCTGAGATGCTTACTGCAGAGCTAATTAGGCAGCTGCAGTATACGTCTCGTGTAGATGCACCTACTTACACACATACACAAAATATAGACATATCCTAGAATACATATATGTATATAGATCTATATTCTGTTCTGTTCTAGATAGATAATCTGCACAGAACCTTGTGCGTGTAAACATTTGGAGTCACTGGACTGGAACGTATTATCCCAGAACAAACGTCCGAAAACGGAAATTCATCCCTATTCCGAATGAAGCCTGAATAGACATTCCTTTCCTGTGTTTTGTGAGACTAAATTATTACAACCAATGTGTGGACACCTGGGACTCCACAGTACCATTTGATGCTACATCCACCTAACGAAGTAGCTAGGACAGAGGTCGGCAACATTTTTGGGCAGAGTGCTAAAAACACTGGCAACCTCGACTTTTAAGATGTTGGTATGCCAGGGGAGTCATGAGGGGCCCAATCCCTATTGTGGTAGTGCGGCCCTAGCTCCTTCCCTGCCATCTGCTCTGAGGTGCGCATGTCAAGCAAAATGCCTTGCCATGCCACCCGTGCCGAGGGCTGCCTACCCCTGAGGTAGGGCACTTAAGATTGCAAAGTTTTATAATTGAATAGCTTGGAAACTTGGGACTCAGCTAGCTGTAGGCACAGCTCTGAGTCTCTTGACACAAGATGTATCCCCCTGGGCTCATCCCAGAGATGATATCCTTACAATTATGACCTTACTCTTAAAAGTACGGGGTAAAAGATCTAGCTCTTGGATTATCGGTTCCCTAGGGCAGGAACCTGTCTCATTTTCATTTAAAATCATTGTACCCATGATCTCTGACACTTTGGTCAGCATTCAGATGCAACAGAAGAGATCCTGCTTTAAATGATATCAAGATATTAATTTCTGTAAATGCTGCAGAACCATTTCTCTTCTTTGATCATGCTATTCCCACAATGTTTTGGTGATTATCTTGTACTCATTATTGGATTTATCGTAACCTCATAACCAGGCTTTCTGCTTTGTGAACACAGAAATGTTTGGAGCCCTTTCAAAAAAGGGGTTCAAAAGGCAGCAGCTGCTCCATGCAAATTCTTAGTGTTATGAGTGAATGATTCAAATACAACAAAACCGCTCCAACTTTAAACCTGCACAAAAGAGTGTAAAAGTTGGAGTGGGTTTGCCGCATGCGCTACACCGTGAGCGAGGGGAGAGGAGCTGTTTTTCCCAGAACGCATCCCTTTCAGAAGTCGTCTTAAATAAACGGTTGTTCTTTTGCTTCCAAACTGAATACAGTTTGCACAGCTGTCCACAGCTTGCGGGGGTCAGCATCATTTCCATCTGGCACCGCTGACCAACTCGACAGCTGCTTCTGGTTTTGGTTTCCCAGGGGGACAGTAGTATTGAACTGCACATGTCTCTGGTTCAACAAAACGCGCGTGGTGCCAGCATATTTGCGGGGGGAAGGAGTTGTGTCAACATATTTGGGGGGAATTTTTGTGATGACTCAGAGCTGTCTCTTTATTCACTCATAGTCCCAAGCGTTTACAATTCTGGTCCCATCAAAGTCAATGGGAATCTTGCTTCTTTTCTTTTCTTTTCTTGTTGGGATTTCTTTACTCACTCATAGTCCCGAGAGTTTAAAATTCTGGTCCCATCAAAGTCAGTGGGAATTTTGCCTCTTTCCATTCTTTTCCGTTTTTCTTTTCTTTTCTTGTTGGGATTTCCTCCAAGGATGATGCTCCAGGCAAAACATGCAAATTCTGGCAGGAAAACAAAAATTCTAGTTAGTGCTGACCCCGGGAGGTAAAAAAGACCCCCCCACCCCCTTTCCATACAAAAATCTTTAAATACAGTCGTTTTATTTGAATCATTTGTGCAATTCTTGCCCCCTCCCCCTTCGTTTTCCAGCCAGACAAGAAGGTGGACCCTAAACCTTTCTGAAAACTGTTTTTTCTCCTCCCTTTTTTTTTCCTTCTCTTTTTCCCTTTTGCCTAAAACTTTCTGAAAACAGGTTTGTTTTCTCCCCCTTTTTTTTCTTTCTCTTTCC